TGGGAAGAAAGAATAGATTAGAGTCTTTATGGGGTTTCCATGGGAAAGGCAAAATAAAGTAAATATTTTAGGATTGCCAGGTTGGAATAATTCTGGCAGACTTTGGGGTATAGAAGCTGTCCCTGACTGCCCTTCCCTGCCCCTCCCAAAGCTAGCTAAATTTCTGTTCCCAGAGTTAATAAGCAACTTATATGGGAGCCCACCTCTCATATGCAAGTAAACTATTTCCTTTAACTCTCACACACCAAGCCAGTGTTTCCCCTGCTCTAAATCTACCCAGACCCAGATACCAGTTTCTCTTTGGTGTGTAAGGCCCTCCAAGATACCAAAACATCATAACAGACCGAAAATAAAAAATATGATTAATACAGGGATTATCTTGCTTTCTGGTGAAGTCTTTGATAACTCTGTGTCGTTGGTGAATTTTTGTTTTGTTTAAATTTTCCATTTCTACCAAATCCAAGAGTTGTTTGATAAATTTTTCTATAGCCTATAATTAGTATATTTTCCTAGAAAATTATGTTTCATCTAAGTTTTCAGCTTTATTTGCATAAAGTTATTCAAATTAAAGAACCAGTTTATTTATTGATCCTGTTTTCTTCTAACTCATTAATACTGTCCTCCTTTCTTTTGGTTACTTTTTGTTTCTAATCTTTTGAGTTATATATTTATTTCATTTTTTTAAATCTTGCATTTGCAATGATGTAAGTATTAAAGGATCTGTATTTTTCTCAAATCACTATTGTAGTTCATTCCTTAGATTCTGACTTAGTGTTTTCATTATTGTTAATTAGAAATACTGTGATTTTATTGGAATTTTTCCTTTGACCTCAGTTATTTAATTCTTAAAAAAAATTTTTTTAATCCAGGTGAATAGATTTTTTGTTTTACTTTGTTATTCTGGTTTTATTGCATTGTGATTGGATGATTTTGTTTTTATTTTTCCTGTAGCTCTTAGTGTGGTTTTCTTCATGACCTAATGAATATATATGGTAATTTTCGTGAATATTCAATGTGCACTTGAAAAGAAGCTATACTCTCTGTTAGAGAGCAAAGTTTGCTGTACAGTGATAAGATAAACTTTGTTGTGCTCTTCAGAGCCTCTTTAACCTTACTTATTATTCATTCACTTAATTGAGAATAAAGTTTAACTGTTAGTTATGTCTATTTCTCCAGTATTTCCTGGAATTTCTGCTGTGTAAAGATGACTGCTATGGTGAATGGTATATGAATATTCATACGAATCTTCAGTGAGAATTGTGGCCTTTAGCATTGTAAAGTATTTTTTATTCTTTTAATGCTTCTTATTCATTCCAACCTCTTCACTGACATTTCCCAACCATCTCATGGATGAAATTTATTTTCCAGTAGATTCTTTATAAACATCTTGTAACTATGTTCCCTGAATTCTTCCATACCAAAACTGTTTTCTATAGTTTTGTTACAAAATGCACACAGCTTGGGTAGATATAAATTCCTCAACTTTCTTTCCTTTGGTTTCTGAAAAAATATGACTAAACCCTATTTCAGTCTTACTTTGCATCTTCTTTTCATTTTCTCCCCACTACCCATCCCCTTTTCCATTCACCCTACTGAATCATTTGAATGTCTGTTGCAGAAATTGTAAGACTTGCACTCTTGAATAGTTCAATGTGTATCATTGCACGTGTTCCTCTTTAGTTTTTTTTTTTTTTGGTCTTTGTGACACAGACATTTTATAAAGTCAAAGTCTTATAGACTCTCAATTTGTGTGGTTGTTTCTTTATGATTAGATTTGAGTTAAGCATATTAGCAAGAATATTACACACCTATTTTGTCCTTCTCAGTGTATCACGTAGGAGTCATCTCATACCTTTTCTGAATTGGACTTTCTTTTTTCCTTTCAAATAGACTTCATTTTTATTGTATTTTTAGGTTAATAGCAATATTAAGCAGAAAATACAGATAGTTCCCACATACACCATGTCCCCACACAGTCTCTCCCACTATGAGCATCCACCTAGAGTAGTACATTTATTATAATTGATGAACATGAATGGGACAAATCGTTATCATTCTAAGTCCATAATTTACATTAGAGCTCAATTTTGGTTTTGTACATTCTGTGGGTTTTGACAAATATATGATAAGTTTCCACCATTATAGTATCACACAGAAGAGTTTCATTGCCCTAAAAATTTTCTGTACTTCACCTGTCCATCCTCTCTTCTGTGCTTTCCCCAGCAACTAGGATTTTTTTACTATCTCCATAGTTCTACCTTTTCTAGAATGTCATATAGTTGGAATCACAGTATATAGCTCTTTCACATTGACATCTTTCACTTAATCTGTATTTAAGTTTCCTCCATGACTTGATAGCTCATTTCTTTACAGCACTGAATAATATTCCATTGTCTGGCTTACAACAGTTTATCCATTGACCTACTGAAGGACATCTTGGTTGCTTCCAGGTTTTGTCAATTATGAGTAAAAGTGCTATAAACATCTATGTGTAGGTTTTTGTATGGAAGTAAATTTTCAGGATTGGGGACAAATGCCAAAGAGTGTGATTGCTGGATTGTATATTAAGAGCGTGTTTAGTTTTTGTAAGAAACTGCCAAACTGTCTTCCAAAGTGACTATCATTTTCTATTCTGCCAGCCATAAATGAGAGTTCTTGGTGCTCTGCATCTTCACTTGGTGGTGTTAGTGTTCCAAATTTTGACCATTCTAATAGTGTATAGTTGTATCTCAACTGCTGTTTTAATTTTCATTTCCCTAATGTGGAACATTTTTTCATAATGCTTATTTGCCATCTATATATGTCTTCTTTGGTGATATTCTTTTGCCCATTTTGTAATTGGGTTTTTGTTTTCTTACTGTTAAGTTTTAAAGAGTTTTTGTGTAATTAGGGTAATAGTCCTTTATCAGTGTCTCCTGCAAACATTTTCTCTGTCTTCACATTCTCTTGACATCATCTTTTACAGAGCAGAGCAGAAGTTTTTAATTTTAATGAACTATAGCTTCTCAATTCTTTCTCTCATGGATTGTGACTTTGATTTTATATCCAAATAGTCATTTCCAAACCCAAGTTTATCTAGATTTTCTCCTAGGAAATTTACAAGACTTTGTAGGAGTTTTATAGTTTTGTGTTTTACATTTAGGTCTATGATCTATTTTGAGTTAATTATTGTGCAATAGGTTCTGTATCTAGGTTCATTTTTTTGGTATGTGGATATCCAGCAGTTTTTCCAGTACTATATGGTTAAAAAAACCCAAAAAAACTATCTTTACTCCATTGTATTGCCTTTGCTGTTTTGTCAAAGATCAGGTAAGAATATTTTTGTGGGTCTATTTCTGTACTCTCTTTTCCATTGATCTGTTTATTATTTCATCAATACCACATTGTCTCAATTATGGTTTATATATAATAAGTCTTGAAATCAAATAGTGGTGAGTCCTCTGCTTTGGTCTTCTCAGTATTGTGTTAGCTCTTCTGGGTCCTTTGCCTCCATTTGAACTTCAGAGTCTATTGGTATCCACAAAATAATTTGCTATGATTTTGATTTGGATTGTGTTGAATCACACAAATTGGGAAGAACAGATTATCATAATAGTATTGCATCTTTCCTATCCATGTTCTTGGTATATCTCTCCATTTATTCAGTTCCTTAATATTGGTGTTTTTTTTTTATTTCAAATTTGAAATGTTCTTTCATATCTGCAATTGCTTAATCATATATAACTAATATTGAAGTGAAATATTACAGTTTTCATCCCTTTTATGGCTGTTTTTGTTTTCTGTATTTTTGAGAATCTTCATCCACTGGAAATATTTGTCTTTCTCTTCCATTCTAATATAGGTGCTGGGTTCATGGGGTCTTCCTTTAATGTACTTGTCTATTATGTTACAGTGTTTCTAGACATGTAGGTGTAGGTGTTTGGGGGGCTTACTTTTTTTCTTTATTCCAAAGAACCTTGCACTTGATTGCTACAAATACAAAAATGGACTTCCTTTAATAAATATTGCCCTCTTTTGGTCTGACTTACAATTTCTTCATATTTATACATTATAACATCTCAGTAAGTTTTTATCCTTAATTTGCTTCATTATTTCCCTTTATTACCAAGCCTCCAGAGATACCTTCTTTCTTCAAGTTGCCTCTTTTCTTCTCGAGAAGCAGTATCTTCTCAAGGCTCTAATTTTTTTGACATGTATTTTTCAAACTCTTTCTTTTAACCTTGCAGAGGCTAATTCTTTGATTCGCTATTCACTATGTCCCATTCTCTTCTGAAGATTTTCCGAGAGTTGGACCTTCTCTTAGTGGTGAAAGTTAGCTGGAATTAATCTGGGTTTTTTTTTCACTTCTAAGACCCCATCATATCTTAGTCTCTTTTACAGATTCCTCATCTGACTATCCTTTATGTGTTTCCAAAGTCAACTCAGTTATAAAAACTTATGTTCAAACTTTTGTTTTCTCTGAATGTTTACCTTTGTGGTAGGATACCATTATACCTGAACTAGATTTGTATGCCCTTCTTTTAGAGCAGATAAGAAGATAATGAATCTTAATATGTTGACAACCTAATTTTGTTTTAATAAACCAGGAAGGATCTGAGAAACAACTATTGTGGTATTTTTCTACTACCAATAATACTGGCTCATAATTAATTATACTATTCTTCTTGGATGCTATCACTGAGTCACAGTTATCTGAGCTCTTCTGGAAGAACTTAGTTTTAGTTCAGAATGAAGTTCAGCAAAACATATAGGCACATCTGTACTACTGAAAAGCATGCTTTTTCATATTAAATATAATTTGTGATTATGTTTTTGTTGTATGGTAATTTTAAAATTTTGCAAGTACTACCAGGTGCTCAAATTTCTCTCTGTGTAACATTTTCAAAATAGGATTCTGTAGTTTGAAAGTTTCTCATTTTGATTAATACAGGCTATTGTTTTTCCATTTTATTTTATATTCATACCTAGTGTTTTTAAAAATAACTTGCATTGCCTTGTAGTGTATGCAGAGAATATTTCCAAAATGGTGGGAAGAGAAAAGCACTTGAAAAAGATGAAAAAAGAGCTGTACTCACTTCTAAGACCACTCCAGCCTTAAGTACACATGAGTCTTCTAAACTTGACGGTCATTTAACCAACCTCAGCTTTACAAACCCTGAATTTATAAATGAGTAAGTATACTTTTTTTAGTTATTAATGTTATCTTGGATAGCTGTGTTAATATCATAAAGTAGTGTAATGATTTATAAGTAATGGGCAGTTTGCTTGATCCCCTAATATGTTAGGTAATGTTATCTTGGATAGCTGTGTTAATATCATAAAGTAGTGTAATGATTTATAAGTAATGGGCAGTTTGCTTGATCCCCTAATATGTTAGGCTGAGAAATGCAGATTTGTAATATTATTAGATGGAAAACTAGCATAAAATTTTAAGAGGTATCTGGAATGCTTATGGTTCTGTAATAGATTATCCTTAAAATAAGAAAGAATCGTTCATTAAATGTAATATTCTTATGGAAATACAAAGAATCAAAATAGCTAAATCCAGTTAAACTATGTTTAATTTAAAGTTGCTATCCACTAAGAAATCACAAATAATAAAGGGAAAATTATTAGTAGAACCAATTCCCATTATTTTACTGTCACTATGAAAGTCTGCCTACTTAGCAATATATATAGATACAAATTTTATTGAATATGTGCATGAGTATTTTTCCAGTTTTATTGAGATATAATTGACATATAACATTGTATATGTTTAAGTGTACACATATTGATCTATATATGTATTGAGAAATTATTAAAAGTTTATTGTCATCTCACATAGTTAGAATTTTTTTCCTTGTGATGAGAACTTTTAATATCAAGTCTCTTAGCAGCTGTCAAGTGTACAGTTCAGTATTGTTTACTATATTCGTCATGTACATTACATTCCCAGAACTTATTTATCTTATAACTAGAAGTTTGTACCTTTCAACCAATTCCCCAACCCTTCACCTCTGACAACACAAATCTGATCTCTGTTTCTATGAGTGGTTTTCTTTGATGCCACATATTAGTGAGGTCATATAGTATTTGTCTTTCTTTGACTTACTACTTCACTTAGACAAATGCCCTCAAGATCCATCCATGTTGTCACAAATGACAGGATTTACTTATTTTTTATGGTGCTGAACTTGAATAATCTAGAAACATTTTTGATAGATATTGAAAATTAACCATGAGAATAAAATTAAATTAACCTCTTACAACAGTTCCAAATCTGTAGATATCAACTTTGATTACTTTGGTTACTTTGATTTTATGTATTGAAAATATTATCAATTGGTTATAAACAATTTTATTTCAAAATTAATGTACCTTTGAATTAGTTCAGTGGGAAAGGATAAGGCATCTTTACTTTTATTGAAAAGTTACTACAAAGCGTACATGCCATAGTGACTTACTAAATATCCTATGACCCAGTTGTTATGAACATTAAGTATTTTTAAAATATTGACCAATATAAGAAATTATAATTAAACTGCTGTCAAAAACAGGTACATACAGAAAATATCAACCCTAGAATTTCTTTATGGTTCTTTCTTATAGTCTCTGTTTCATTGTTGAGATTACCTTATTTGTTGAGTCACTGTTATATTTTCCTTTAATTCTTTAAACACATTTTCTTTTAATTGAGGTCTTTGTCTGCAAAATTCAACATTTGGACTCACCTAGATTTTATTTACTGCTCTTTTTCTTGAGTATGGACCATGCTTTCCTGTTTTTCTTTGCATGTCTCATTTTATTAAAAACTGTATTGATACATTTTTGGTAATACAGAAACTTTTATTTCAGATTTTCCCCCAAGGAAGGGAATGGTGGTGGTAGTGATATTTTAGTAATTTGCCTGGACTTAATGTGTGGGAATTGTCTCCCTTGCAATTTGTACATGATTGGTATTTTACTTTTTAGGATAGTTTGCTAGTGTCTTCGTCTACATAGTTTAGTGGTTAATGAGAGGTCAGAGGTAGTACTCACAAACCACTAAGGCTTCCATTTTTTACCATGGATGTGTTTTGATTTGGGAATGCATTTCAAATTGAGGCAGTTTTCAAGTCTGCCTCATCTTTTATTTTTCACAAGGTTCTCATGGGTCTGCTGTGCATATTCAGTTAGCCTCCTGATCAGCCAAGGCTATATGGGAAGTTTATCTAGCTGCTCTATGCCTCTCATTTCCAGGAGCTTTCTATTAAATTTCTGACTAGTTCTCCTAGTCTGCAGCTCAGCCCAACCAAAACTCCAACCATAGCTGCTATCTTTCCTGTTTGGTTCTACAAAATTTGCTGCTTTTACTGACAGTGCTCTGTGTGGAATTTTCAACCTTTGATCCAAATCAAGCTAGCCTCTGCCAGCAGTGAGGCTGCTGCTTTTCATAGCCAGTCCTCTCCTTGAAGAACTTCCACACCAATTGAGCAGGAGGGGTGGGGGTTACAAAAGAAGCTTCAGGTAAGACCACCACAGATCCTCACTGTTCTTAGATTCAGCTTATTTTCATGAATAAATACTTCTCAACTTACTTACCTTTGAGTCCTGAAATGGTTGTTTTTGACAATTGGATCCAATTTTATAGTTGTTTCTTGGAAAGTGGATTTGCCAGCTTCTACCATGTCATAATTAAGACAATTCTGTCTCTGGTTTAGTTTTAAATGAGAAAATTTACTTTGGTTTTATGTATTTAAAGGAAAGTACCCAAATATGGTTGTTACAGTTCAGGACTTACTTAGTATTGAAATTAAGCATTTAAATGACTTACCTAGGATGGCTAGGTTTAGATTTTCTTCTTTCTGAAAACTCTAGATTCCTTCATATAGCATATGGCCCCAACGTGTGTGTAGACTTAGTCCTCCGGCTCCTTGCCACCATTTTGCAGCCAATATTCTAGTTATATGGAACTAGTTAAATTCCTTTAGTGGTTCATGCTTGTTCTCACTTTTTGACAATTGCAAGTGCAATATAGGCTCTTTCTGATAACTATTGCTATATTATTTTAAGCTGTATTTAAGCATCATCCCATCCAGAACTTAATTTGAACTTCCCAAAAGAATTGATGCTCTTCGTGGGTTCTGTGATTCTGCTGCTGTTTTGTTCCTTCAGTTTTCCTTTGTTCTTATACTCCACATATGAGTGAAATCATTTGGTTCTTGTCTTTCTCCGCCTGGCTTATTTCACTAAGCATAATACCCTCTAGCTCCATCCATGTTGTTGCAAATGGTAGGATCTGTTTTTTTCTTATGGCTCAGTAATATTCCATTGTGTATATGTACCACATCTTCTTTATCCATTCATCTGTGGGGGTGGTATGGGGAGGGCTGTACAACACAGAGCAGACAAGTAGTGATTTTACAGCATCTTACTACACTGATGGACAGTGACTGTGAAGGGGTATGTGGGGGGGACTTGGTGAAGGGGGAGCCTAGTAAACATAATGTTCTTCATGTAATTGTAGATTAATGCAAAATAAAAATAAGTAAAAATAAATAAATAAATAAAATAACTTTTAAAAAAAAGATTTGATGCTCTTGGGTACCAACATTAAACCCTTTTTATACCTCTATTATACTACTTATCATACTATATTAAAATCAGTATTGTGTATTTTTCTGACTAAAAATGAAATAAGAGAATCTCTTCCACCCTCATACACACATTCTCTTTTAGAGAGGGTAGATGAAATAGTGAATGGTCAAATGTTTATTTATAGATATTATTATACAGGAATATATGTAGTCCTTACTATCCAAGTCTATTTGACTTTTGACTTTGGATAGCAAGTTTAGATAGCAGGGGTTAACTTTTTTCCCAGTCTAATCTCAAAAATATGTATTAAAAGTAATTTTGATTTCTGGGTTCAGATAGCAAGAGCTTACATAGCAAAATAACTTTCTTTCCTTTTTTTTATGTTGCACTTACATTTCATGAAAGTCTAATTTAAAACCAATGTTTGTTAATACTAGAGTCACTTTTAAAGTCATCTGTATCTCAAAATTGAGATGTGTGACACTTCAATATGGATATAATATGATTGGTGGGAATTTTATTCCAAGCCCAATCTCTACCCATTCCTCCTAACATTAAGATAACTGTGTCCTGACCCTTCCTCATCTTGTAAATTATATACTTGTAACTGATTCAAAATAAATACTTACTTTGCTGCATTTTTTAAGGTATTTTTATTTTTTTAAAACATTCACCAAATCGACCATATTCTGGGCCATAAAACAAACCTTAACAAACATAGGAAGATAGATCATCTTTGAAAGTATTCTCTCAGACCACAGTACAATTAAACAAGAAATCAGTAACAGAAAGAGATCTAGAAAAATTCCAAAATATTTACAGAAAATCCCTACGTATACAGCACAAACCCAAGTAACACATGGGTCAAAGAAGTCTCAAGAGAAATTTTAAAATATTTTTCACTAAATGAAAGTGAGAATGCATCTTATAAAAATTTATGGAATGTAGTGAAAGCAGTGTTTAAAGGGGAATTTATAGCATTGAATGCATATCTTAGAAAGAAGAAAGATATAAAATCAGTAATGTGTAAGCTTCTCTCTTAGGAAACTAGAAAAACAAGTGCAAGTGAGATCCAAAATAAGCAGAGAAAAAATAATAAAAATAAGAGCAGAAATCAGTGAAATTGAAAACAGGGAAAACAAAGGAGAAAATCACTGAAACCAAAGCTGGTTCTTTGAAGAGCAATAAACTCGATAATCCTCTGGCCAGGCTAACCAAGAAAAAAAAAAAGCAACAGCACAAATTACTAATAGGGGCCATCACTACTAATCCCATTGACAGTAAAGGAATAATATAGGAATATTATGAATAACTATGTGCCCAAAAATTTGATGATTTAGATGAAATGGACCAATTTCTAAAAAGAGACAATCTACCAAAACTCACACAAGGAGAAATAGATAATCTGAACAGCTTTAGATATCTATTTTAAAAAGTTAAATCAATAATGAATAGCCCTCCAAAACAGAAAGTACCAGGCACAGTTGGTTACACTGGTGAAATCTACCAAACATTAAAGGTAAAAATGGTAATTCTGTGCAGCCTGTTCTAGAATACAGAATCAGAGGGAACACTTTCTCATTCATTCTGTGAGGCCAGTAGAATGTTAAAG